GATACGGGCTCCCGGCAGGCAGCATACCTCCCGAAATGAAATGTCAGGGCGACAGATGGGTGCCTCGTCCCCCTCAGCAGAGAGTCTCCGACCACCACTACCCTACGTTTCCTATTCGCAGTGGTGGCAGCAGACCTTCCAGCCTTAGGGGTACGAGGCTTCTCCTCCTTTACTGTAGGGGGTGATTCCTTCTTTCCTGTATCAAGAAGAGCATAACGGTTACCTATTACCATGGTGGGAGGGTTCGGAGCAGGGGTGGAGCCCTGCCTGCTGCCAGAAGTAACCAGCTGCCAGTGTCCACCCTGAGCCATCTCCTCCTCCACCAGTGGTGTATCAGCAGTCCTGTGTACTGGGACAGCTACCTCAGCTGTCTCCACACGGACACTGTCCAGGAATTGCTCGTGGATTCGGATGCTCCTCAACCTATCCACCTCCTCCTGTAGCTCTCCCACCTGCTGCCTGAGAGATTCCACCAGCAGGCACCTTTCACATTGGATTTCCCCCCAGCCTGGATATCAGTAAGTGGAAATTGCAAGTTACCGTCTCTGCAAAACCACACCAGGCTCTGGGTAGAAGCATCCATGCTCACGCGCTCTGTCTGGCTACAGGCGCAGGTGGAGGAGACAGAAGCAGTGCTGGCACAGGTGTTGCGGGTCTTCCTAACCATCGTAAGCCTCCCTCTGTCAAACTCCTTCTCAAACTCCCGTCTGCAGCCCCCTGTCTGCTGAAAGGGTTGTTTAAGCAAGAAGTTTTGAATGTCGTTGGTTTATAGGTTTTAAGGGGAATAAAAGGAAAACAGATAGAACCGGCAAGGGACCCTCGCCCCCTTCCCACTCCCCCTCCAAACTCCCTTGCGAAACTCCCTGTTAGCAGCCCCTGTTTGCAAAAGCCTGTGATAGGCTATCACAGATATCACATGCTGTGATAGGCATGTGTAGGACCTCTGGATCTTAAAAGGTGTGTGGGAGAGGGTGTCTTGATCATTGTAGCAGTGTAGATATTTCTGTATGTTTTGCATTTGTTGTTCTGGCTGGGTCTGGTGCTGCTTTTAGTTGGTGTGTTCTGGTCAGACAACCACTATGCTCATGGATGAACTCACACAGGAAAATGGTAAAAGTAAAAAATTACATATCATCTGTGGGTGAAGACCTTTCACAAAGTGATCACTCCATATCTGACCTCTCAGTCCTCATCCTCAAAGGAACAGTGCAACAGTTTCAAAATAAGATCCTGGGATCTTAAATTCATAACTTTGCTAAACACTAAAAATTATGGTCTGAATAGACACTGGATTTATGGCTTATTATAAGGATTTGTAACCCACTAACCCCTCCTGCACACAATCAAAGATAGTGCATAGTGGGAACATAACTCAGGCTTGTGAATTCCATCGGGTGGCTTGGTGCCTAAAAATTAGATGCTGAAATGCTTAGTACTGCAATGTCCAAGTACTTTTGTGGCTTTGGGACCTACTCCTTATCTCATTTGAGGTGTACTGCCTCTGCCACACTACCAAAGTAAATAATAATAGTAGGGTCTGAACTGTTGTTTACAGAGTCTCCAATGGTTTGACAGAGTGTGTGTATGGATGAGGGGAAGTGTGAGAGAGTTTGGTTTATGTAAGATAAAGTTAAAAACATACCACACCCAAAATAGAGCATATGACATGAGGTATTGGCTTGAGGAGTGAGACAGACAAAGCAGTTCTTATGTTGACTAAGACCCCTGCTCAGGTTCAAATCACAGGAGTTCAGCAAAGACCACATGTAGGTATGGTGTACTACATCCATGTGTACATGCGTTCTAGGTAAATTTTGTGTGTATTTTATCCTACTACCAGAGGAAGGAAGCTCTTTAGTATGAGCCTCTTTTAATTCAATGTCTGTTATTTCTCTCTCCGATTCAGCATGGAGAAAGGCTTGCTGTAAAAGAGGTAATAGAATACACATTTTTTCAGGTATTAAGAAATCACTGTGTTAATGCAGTAACCAAACTAGAAACATACCATAGAACACTGTTTTCCTGAGAACAAATCCTGAGAGCCATGCTCAGTTTTTACAGTTTTTACTTAGGCAAAACATGCATGTATATCAGGACCTGATCTGACTTCATATCAGTTTCACAACAGTGTAATTTCATGGATCTATGTGAA